TCCTGAAAATGTCCTCGTGATCGGTCGGTCGGCAAATGTCTACGAGGGTATCAAAACTTCCAATCTTCTACCTTGACTTCAAGTTTCTGCTTCTTTTAGGTTGTCACTTTCCAAGAAGAATAGAGCTTAATAGTTCCGATTTGATTTCATCCCAATATTGTAATTATATTCTACTTATATGTTATTTAACAATAGAACACATCGCTTCGCACACATCTGTTAGCTGTAACATCATCTGCTTGACTGATAAACATTTTCGTTTACTAGGCAGTATTTTCGATGATACCGTTGCACGTTGCTCGGAAATTCGAACGGAACGCGGCCGCTGCGACTTGTCGAATCGATCGATTTGGTGCTTATCAATTTCGAAAATAGCTCGCATCTCGCTTATCTACCGCGCACGCTCTCAACGATAGATGCCGCCTCTTAATTCAGGCGTTCGCCGGTCAGCGAACACACGAGCATTATCAACAACAGAAAAACAACAAGAACAACAAGGAGGAGAACAGTTGTGTTTGTCACATGCCCCCGTCTCGCAGTGCTCGGATTCGAATTGGGATTTTAGTTTGTCAGAGTCTGTTGTCTTGATAACGTTAACGTTTCCCACTTGCATATATTTATCTCGTATTATCTGTGTGTGTCTGCGTTTCGTTTTGTGCGTCTCTGAATTTGGCTAAAAACGTTGGAAAGTTGAATAAAACAACAACAAAATTATTAAATTGATAATCACATATATTACAAGTGCCGTTGTGTAATTGTCGTCGTTGCAAAAAATAAGAAAATTGCCAGAAAGAAAAAACTACGTAAAACTTTACGCTTATGTCATTACGTCTCTCGTAACGTGTTAAACGTCAACGTCTCAGCGTAGTCTTTGAAAAAAAAAGTGCTTGTTTCGCTTTCTTTGTGGGTGTCTACTATTACAACTTATCTGGTCTATTCAAGATATATTTCAAATATATCTTTATAATATTAATTATTTGCATATTTGTTTGTGTCTCTAGCAATTTATGTGAGTACTTGAGCTAAGGTGATTAGTTTATAAGTCTGTGTGCTTGAGCGTATTTCAATGTTTTTCTGTTCCTTTTTTACCTTCTTTACTATTTCCACCATTCTTACGTCTTACTCTTATACCCTTTATTAACCTCATTTTATGTCGTTTCAAATGCTATTCACAAAAACTATTGCTAATAAAATTATAACCATCTGCTCGTTTTTGCTATATAAATCAACCTTGATACCTTTTATATATATGTGTCTTTATGTACGTGTGTGTGTGCATATGTGTATATAAATATATGTGTTTTCACGTGTGTGTTTTTGCGCTATCTGTTGGCCGTTGTTGCTGTCCGTCTATATGTCAATAAAACTGTCCACCTATTTGCCCTCACAATGTATTCCCAGTGCAATGTATACACATAGTTTTGTGTATTATTGAAATGCAATATAAAGCAAAATGTTGACTAGACTGCAAATGTTTAATTAAAAAAGTGGCCACAATTTCATTTAAATATATTTGAGAAACCTTACAAATTACGTAGGACTTTGATGTTGCGAATACAAATATATAGGAAGGAGAATATCAGACAAACAAAGAAGATGGTCTTATGTATTATGCAAAACTAGGAATAACTAAAATAATTTTGTTTTTACTTATTTCAAAATGTGAAATTAATTATGAGACACCATACCATTTATCTCATTAAATTTCCGAATGTCATGCACTTCACACACATAGCAGGTACAAATCCCATTTTATAATCCCAAGCAACCCTTTAAGTTTCAATAATGCCGAACATATTGATCTATGAGAATATACTCAAATGAATTTAATTATCCCTAATTAGAGACGTATCTGGCTAACTTGTTGCATGAATAATGGCGCTAATAACAGCGACGTTGGGCATGTTAAACAGCGCCAGCAACAAGGATACACAGATAAATACAAACACAATGGAGGCAGGACACACAGTTTTGTTTGCTTTGACAAACACAAGTTCCTAATGCCAATAACTGAACCCATAATAATATTATTTATGACCTCGAGCTGCTGCTGCTGCTGCTGCTGCTTCTGCTGCTCTTTCTAGCTATCAACTTATATAAATTTATACATATATTTCATTATGGGCCACAAAACCGGACGGTGTTATACGGCATCTTGTTGTGCTCGAGGCGACTCTTTAGTCGCATATAAATTGCATTGAAAGGTCCTAAAGCAGCTTCCCGGTTCCAAGCATTGCTTTTTATACCCTGTTAACATATAAAATGATTAATAAGCGTGTATAATAAAGATGGAAGGAGCAGATACGATACTCGAGAGGGTATAGGTTTTTGATGAACATATTCAAATATATTTACTAATGTTTATTTATGTCTTTATTCAGGTCAAAGATCATTAAAATTGATGTACAAATTTTAGTCAGATCACGCAATAGTAATAACAAAAAGGAAATATATATTTTAGTCTTTCTATAGGCTGCTTTTATTTTGAGTTAAAAAAAAAAAAAACAATGGGTTGTTTCGTATACAGCTAGGAATTAATGTAGGCTTATAGTTTTACTCAGAAATAAACGATAAAAATCGGTTTCATAGACAATAATAACTTTCAAACTGTCACGAAATTTGGCAAAGCAAAGCTTCCAGGCCACTTTACACTTAGCTAAAGGGTATCCCTAAGTCTGTCAGTCTTAACTTCAGCCATCTTACATGCTTTTTTATGCTTGTTAGCAATGGGAAGTGTTCCCATGTCCTCTATTTGTTATCCGCTTTGCAGTTTGTTTGTTTGCTTGTTGTCTATTGTGATTTTTATTGTTTATATTTCATATTTATATATATATTTCATGTCTTGTTTGGTTGGCTTATTCATGTTTTTTATGTTGACTCCAATAATGTGTGCATTAAGTGCGTTGCTGCTGCTCTTCATTTTCTTTGTTTTTTTTTTTCGTATTCTTTTCTGTTTGTTTATTTTAGTTGAGTTTTTCTTGGGATTTTTTCTTTGTGATGTGCTCATTTTCATGTTTTTCTCCCCAGCTTTTTATCCTTTTTGCTGTTTCCTTTTTGTTATAACATATGTTCATTTGTGTGTTTCTATGCTTGCTTACAATGCGACGACTCCTCTGACAGCGTCAACCAAGCAACAGTTAAGTGAAATTGATGATGTTGCGTATACGTCATGTATGGCAATTATGTTTTACTTGCACTTAGTTTTTTCCCCTCCTCCAAGATTTGACCCGAAACTCTTTAGCCTTTTGCTCTCTTTGAAATTTGTAATGAAATTATAAATTATAAGCTCACAAAAGCGCTTAAAACAAGTTTGCCTCAAAAAGGCAAAAAAAAAAGTTGAGCTACAGCAGGTGAGTAAACTTAGCTCTCAACTTTTGGCTATCCAGCGCACCCGCTCTCCGCCCCCTCAACTCGTCTGGCGGCATATAAACAATGAGAACAGCCTGAAATATTGTTGCAAAAGTTGCATAATTGGTTTGGAGCTTTGCTTGGCAACTTCTGATATGCCTTAATTAAGTTTGGCCGCATTCAAATATTTATAGGCTGCAAATAGCCATTGGGTTGAACTCTTGAGGCACTCCTCAAAATGTTAATGGGTTAGGGCTAGAAATAGTTGGTTTATAATTAGAAAGCCCAGCGCATTGGCAGGTGAGCTTCTATTAAGCATTGATATTTAAACGCACATCTGTGAATCTCTGTGGAGTCCACGTTAGTTGATTGACAAAAACTATTTTGATAGCCGTTAGCTTGAAAACTTGTTTCTATTTACTTAAATACTTATAAAATTTTATTTATATTTATTACTGAAGATTTTTATAAGCTTTTCCCTATTATTTAAACTTGGGCATAGTATCTTATTAGAATTCATCGAAGCATTTGTAATATATTCACAAGAAAACAGTCTAGTATATAGCATATCCGATTTCTTATATATCCCATTTACGTGTACAATTTCAATAACAATAGCAATCAATTTCAAAGTCAATTACTTCTATTTGAGGAGTTGCTACCTGGAAACTTTGTTAACAAAATGCCAATTGAAATACAATTTGAGACGCACGTGAGCGCCGAGAAATGAGCCTGCAAAATCAGGGAAATTGAATAAGTGTGCGTGTCTATATGTGTGTGTGTCATTTAGGAACAATTTCATTAAAATTTAAATAGCCAAAACAAATTGAAAAGTTGTGCCAAGAAAATCATTTGCTAAAATTGGCAGGGACCGAGTAAATGCAGTGCAGAGCTCAATAAAATAAAATAAAATAACAAAAACAATCTAGCAACACGCCAGCCAAATCAGGGAAAAAGTCTTTCAATCAGGCAGCAAATTTGTTGGGCAATTGCCAAACGAGAGAGCCACAGAGAGAAAGAGAAAAATTGGAAACGTATTTCTAATCAATTAATGAAATTGCTGAAAAACTCGAGATCTTCCATAGGCCGCGGCAGCATTGGCTAATAAATAAATCAGGAGCACTTCGTGTGGGCTGTCGCTAAACTGATTAGCAAGGGGGCTTGGCATATTGGTTCTGCAATTTCAATTAAAGGCTAACTAATCCTTTAGCAGAAACTTAGACAGTTGTCTTAGCTGCAATAATCAACAAAAATGTCATCATCATGAGCATCATCATCATCATTGGCTTCATTATCTTGGTGAATGGTATTTGTCGCTCAGGCTAAAACAATAAACAAAGCAAACACAACAACTACCAACATTATCGCACATCATTATCATTGTCATTCCGTGCGCGGCACAGCTTAAAAACAAGTAAGAAAGTCAAAAGTTTGATAGCGGTTAGACACTGAAATACCCTGTAGAAATTTATAAGGAAATTGTGAAGGCGTAATAAAAATTGTGACGAACAAAAAAGTTAGGAAGAAAATGATTATTATTTTCTCGCGATAACAAATACAAAATGCAGTTAATAGAGTTTCAATTACCTTATATAAAATAACTTTTAGCAACAAATTTAAAATAAAAAAGATATATTAAAAAAGGTACAAAATCTTGTCTAAAAGTATACCAAAATTGTAGTATTCATGAATCTCTTTTTTTTAAATAAAATGTAATATAATGTAGTTACAGGTGTATGCCCCTCAGGAGTGGCATATGGAGGGTATATAAGTATTAAAACAATCAACAGGCTTCTATCATCTACCGCTCTACTCACAAACTCTAAAGGCATAATATAATGTAGTTAAAACCGCGTATGCCCCATTAGAACACCGCATCTACAGGGTATACTAAAACAACCAACAGGCTTCCATCAACTACCGCTCTATACACAAAAACCCGAGCGTTTCGGTCTAAGTTCTGAGTTGCCGTCTATATAACTGTATTTCACGTTGTCGTCCTTTGATGCTGTTTGCTTTATTTTTCTGTTTAGTTAGTTTTTATGAGCGTCATTATTTTCGCTTGCCATGGCGCTAAGCATCTTAAGTGCCTCCACTTTAGGGAGGAGCTTGGCAGACGCCTTTCATTCCAGGCTCTGAAGTTTTTGGATGGCAGGCTGTGTGTTTGCATAGGCGACAGACATCATTTGGCGGCTTATAATTTAACTTTTGCTGCTAGTTTTGAAAACAACTTAATAAGAAAGATGCTGGGCTGTTGTTCTGCTTAAACTGAACCTGAACCCCTGGTGCTGTCGGTTGGTTGAGGAACCTGTTGTTGAAGTTCTTGTTGAAGAATGCGCCCAGTTGGCAGTTTTATGAGGCCCTTTGGTAATCATTATAAGAGTTCTGCTTTGTGGCATTTAAGCTGTGAAGTTTTCCAAAGTTATTTCGGATTAATTGCTTAAACTGAAAAGATAAACGCAATAACAAACGAATATAATTTGTCTAAAATATAATCTGTAAAATATTTTGACACAATGTCAAATTTAAAAGGAAATCAAAATGTGTCAAATATATTTTCAACCATTTCGAATTTAAGAGCTTCAATTAAGAAAACAAAACTTAATTTTTTCAAATACTCTTATATAAAATTTATATTTAAAGCTTTTTAGCTTTTCGCTGAATTTCCGTACACTTAATAATAGTTTAATCCAGAAAAGAATTTAACTGTTTTACCTTTTTCCATGTTTGCTATGAAATATTTTTGCAATTGGGCCAGAAACTCAGCACTCTATGCAAGATATATCAGTTTATGTCAACTTGTTTTTACTCTTTGTATTGTTTATAAAATCAGATTGTGTAGCGTACATATATTTTATAAAAGTTCAATTTCGGCTTCTTAGTGGCAAAATTCTTAATGTGTTAACTTTTCGGCCGTACCGCGTCACGATCTAAACTTAATTTGCAAAAAAAAATCTTTAACCTATACACAATATAACTACACAAGAATTAAAAAAAAAAAAACAAAAAATAAAATAAATTCGCAATAGACCAGATCTAAAAATTTTTATCATTCGTGTTCCCTTTCGGCCATTGCAAGCTAAAAATAAAAGAAAATAGGTAAGTGCAAAAGCAACTTGGTCAAGTGACATAAAAACTATGGTGGTTGGGTTGGTTGTTGGCGGAATTTTAAGAATAAGCTCCTGCTGCCGTCTTCCGGCATGACAGATTATCAGGCGCTGTCTCTGTGTGTGTGTGTGTGTGTGTGTGTGTGTGTGCGCGCGCTGTGTGCTGTCCAAAGCTTGTACCTTTGAGTGTTCTTAACAGTTATTGAAATTGCAGCAATTGAGTTCAGTGTGCTCGAAGCTATTTAATTGCAGCTGCAGCGCAGGACACTAAAGGAGCATAGCATAAGGTTGGTCTAGCAGCGCCCGATTAATAGATACCCTCTACACAGCCTCGGGCTGCTCCATCACACACACTCACGCCTGGACATACACATGTGAACACAAACACATACACAACTATTCTTGTCCCTTCTCATGCTTTTATATCTTCCATGTTGATCGCGCTTTATAAAAATTATATTAAATTAAGGGTTTTAATATGAAATCTAAATGTGTGTACACAATGTGATATATCCATCATAGGATGATACATTGCAGTGTACAGAACGTTTTCACGAAGCATTAAAGCATTTTTGATCCTGATTTTATACTTTAAACTGCCTGTTAAATTTTGTGTCTCTATTATATTTTTCATAGGCATGCTGAACAAATCTAGGTTGAAATAACGATTAATCGATAGCCGGGAGTCGGGAAAGTATCGATTATCTGAATGAACTTCACCAAGTTTTGAGCAACGATAGAGAGGACTGACTGCAAAATAGGCTTGACTTATAATATTTATATATATATATATACCTTAAATCGTCTTGCGCCCTTAACATACATTTTGTCTACTACAATACTCCTCGATTTACCAAATTTCAACGTTTGCAGGGTATAAAAACAACAACTACTATAACAGCAGCAGCAGCAGCAAGGGCAGCTGAGACTCAGCTCGACTTTTACCCGCAGGTGTTGTAATCTAGCAACGTGGCGTTGCTTCTGCCTGCCTATTGTGTGTGTGTTTGTCGTCGTGCTGCAGCTCCTGCTGCTGCTGGACTTGGGCCAAATGCAGCTCGAGTGCTAACTAATTTCGTCGCTGTCGTCTTCACGTGTCAGCAACATTTCTTCAATTGGTTTCGTTTGGCTTGTCCTGTCCTATTATGTGCTCTCCTCTTCCATGCCAACCTGGCATGTCCTTTATGAGTTCGAACGTGTATGTGTGGTGTGTGTGTCTGTGTTTGTGCACTGCTGCAGTTGTTGACTCGTTTCGTGATACTTGGGCCAAGCCAATTCCTTTGGCCCAGTCATCCAATCCTTGGCCTGTTTCTGCTCTTTATGCACTTGGCGCCGCTCTGCTTCACTCTCCTAATGCTCATATGATCTGCTTTGGCTCCAAGCGTCGCATTTTTATGGCACTTGCTGTTTACTTTTACCGCCGTGTATGCATTTGTAGTTTCCAGTTACTTGTTATTTTCCTAGCTGTATTTTGTTTTTCTTCTTCTATTGTTTTTCTTTGTTTTTGTTGTCTTGGCTCTCGCCTTTGATTGTGTCTCATTTGGATCGTAACATTAACGTTTATTATGTTCTTGTTTAAAATTGAGCTGTGTAATGAAGGCTCTCAGGTTAAGACAAAGCAGAAGGAAATTATATAAAAAGCAGTGCTAGCTTTTTGGTCGAAAGTGTTCGACTTCATGGCATTCTGTTATCAAGTCTGATCCTTTTCTTTATTTTTTTTTACCTATGTAGACATGTATTTCTTATTTTGTTTCATAACCTCATTTGCGAGATAGTATTCCGGAGTCTTCTCTGCGACTTCAAAATTCAAGCTTTATATATGTTGGCTGACTCGAGGTCGAGCTTTATTTAAAAATTTAGAATGTGCTGCATATATATAACATGCACATGACTGACGTCCTTCTCGAATGCATGGCTAGATAAATGAAGAATATTAAATGGTTTTTGCCTCATTAGCGGGCATTCAAATTGTATAAAGCCTTTGAAACAGTGCATTTCCTTTGACATGCTATGCCAGCGATAACGTAAAAACTCGAACAGAAGTCGGAACCAGGGTCGTTGTTGTCGGGCTGTAGTTACCGAGTTTGAGGCCAGTGTAAAGCTGTCAACCGCGCCACGTAATTATTAAGTTGCAGCCAAAGCACCCACCCACAACATTAGCAGCAAAGCCGCACTCGAACACACACGAACACATAGAAACGCCCACACACACACACACACGTTCACATTTCATTTACTTTCTATAATTTCTCTAGAAATTCCGATTGCACATGTGGGACTTTATATTGGCAGCGCTGGAAACCAATTAAAATGCTGCACTGCTCCTGATTATGCCAACAACGCTGTGTGTGTGTGTGTGTGTGGGTGTGTGTTGGCTGTGTGTATGTGTGTGCGTGTGTGTGAATAGATTGGTATGTGTCAACTAAGTGCAGTTAATTAGTGCGAAAATCACTTCAGTTGGCTGGGGATTTTTCGCCCAGATTTCTTTAGCTGTTTGTGTTTTTCCGCTGAAGCAGCTATTTTTTTTATATTTGGTTTTTCTTTTGAAATTTTCACATTAATTGCTCTGCGCTGGCTTTGGCTCTTCGAGTCCAACTCTGACACTGCTGCAATCAGCCGGAAGAGCAGCCAAGCAACCAGGAGCTAAGCTACTTGGGGATTTGCTCCATTTGTTGTCGCTTCACAGTTTTTTTCTTTGCTTATTTTTTTTAGCCAAATAATCACACAACTTGTAACATATTTCTAAGCAATTTGCAGCAACTGTGCTAACCACAACCATTTGCTCAGCACATAAATTAAATGACTTATATATTTAGATAAATATTTAATTAAAATTGCCGTAGTCTGTCATAGGTTCTTATTTGACATGTTTATAGATTGAATATGTATGCAAATTGATTTTACACTCTGCAGATTTTTATTAAATGATAGGAAAAATAGATAGAAAAGGCTTAAAGCTGCTCACTATTTTCTTGTGTTTCATAATTGGAGAAAAAGTAATTTATGTATGAAATGAATACATGTTTTCTTTCCATTGTGTAATTCCCCGGACTTTCAATTTTTAAATTAGTTATAAAGATTTGGCATTCGCACCAAAGTTTTAAGATCTTTGAGTAAATATTCAAGAAGCATTTTTTTTTTTAGCAATCACTGTCTGTAAATAGCTTTTGAAAAATTTAAATCATCGGGATATTTTGTTGTATTCATCAACATTCATAAATTTCTTTAAAATATTTTTGTAGGTTTTAATATTTTATATTAAATTGGTAAATTGGTCCAATGTTCAATTCAAAACAGTCGACAAATATTACTTAAAAGAAAAAAAAATCAATTATAATAAGAATTTTATAAAAAACAATACAATTTATTACTAGCATATTCAAAAGAATATACAACAAGACCTTCAGAACGCAAACATATTTATAAATGATGTGATTAATCAAATTCAATATGATAATAATATAAGGGCCACAATAATATAAAGGAATCTTCCCATATAAAAGTGGTTCCGATTTATATCAATTTAATGTCATTATTAATAACTCTCGTACGTCCGACAACTACATAAATTTCAAGTACGCTAAATAAATCCACCAAAAAAAACATGACAAGTAGCGCAGTGGCAGCGGACGTGTTATTTACTCTGTTGATTAAGTTAAAATACCGCGCAGAGATCAGCCAGGCAGTGCAGCCAGTAAGTCGAGGACTTCCCTTGGCTCAAGGACAAAGCACAGCAAGTGGTGACCCCGCAGCCGAAAAAATAAGTGACCGCACAGCAGCCACGGCGCCAGCCAAGCGACAATATCCAAGCGAACCTAAAAAACAAAACAAAAATAACAAAAAATTTACTAAACTGTGAACAGGGGGGGTAACAGAAAAAAAAAGCGGGAGCATACGCCATGCGGGGATTACATTAACGCAATTTCTGTGAGCCAAGGGCGGCGACCCCAGCGAGAGTTGGCAAATTAAACGCCCACTTAATCTCAGTTGGGTCAACTTGTGACACGAAACTCATTTGTGCCGCTGGCCACACACAGACAGACACGCACACACACACACACATACATACGCTGTAAGAGAACGGGCGACCGAGCAGGGACCAAGTTCAGGGACAAGCGACTGCGTCAAGATCAAGGCACACATACTGCTCGAAATTATCTGGCAAGGGCTCCGGCTCGCTTCTCTCCCTCACACACCCACACACTCTCCCTTAGGTCTAGTCATTTTCAATTAATTTGGCAACGTGGGCAAAACTGTAGACCAGAGCCAGGAAACTGGCAAAAGAAAAACAGTTTTCAGCACTTTTGTGTCAAAAGTTGTTTGTCGACGTTGTCGCGACATTTGCACTGAAGAGAAGTCTCTGCATTTCAGAGAGTTGAGTTCTCTTCCTCTCACTGTTTCTGTTTTCAAGTGCAGGAAATGCGTACTTCCTGTTTGTTGCCGCATTGTGTGTGCGTGTGTGTGAGTATGTGTGTGTGCTATTCAGTGGGCGGCAGCTTCAGTCAGCTGGCAGCATATTTGCGTGCTCGACTGCTTCGCCCAAAGACAATAAATGCACTTGCCTTTGCCGGCTTTCACCTTCCCCTCTCTATCTATGCCAGCATTCCCGTCTCTCTCTCTCTCTCTCTCTCTCTCTCTCTCTCTCTCTCTTTCTCTCTCTCTCTCTCATTCTCTTGCTCTCTGCGCTTGGGTCAACCATAAACTTTTGCTTGCAACTGCCGCATAATTTTACATTTTGTCTCGTCTCAATGCTGCTGCTTACGGGCAAAGAAAAAAAATCCGAATTGTATGTGGTGTTGGAGGGGTGGCAATCGCCGGAGGGGTTGGGGCATTGCCTCTACTCAATGCACTGGGCCCCGTCCGTTGGTTTTGTTAAAAAGTTGCTACCATTTATCTGTTTTGTATGTGCTCTGCACTTCACATTCTTCCAGCTCATCCTTCTCCATCTCGTATATATTTTTTTATAAGGCCTTCGGTATGGGCCCGTCTTCTGCA